AATTTAGGGAACCTTTTATTACATTTTCAAGTGTTTTACCCAATGAATATAATTTTATTGACAGTTATAGAATCAAAAACTAAAAAACAAAACATTTCAAATGTCTATAAATAACTTAAAAATTGTTGAAACAAAACACAGCTTAAGGGGGGGCGCCTCCTCCACCCCCCTACTGAATCCGCGCCTGAATCAATGGGTATATACAAAAATAAAAAWTTTTAAATCAAATGTTCATTTTATCAAGAGCATTAACTGTTATAGTCACATTTTACCACTATTTTATTCATAAACCCTTAGCCTAACATATTACCACCCTAATATTTATACCATCATTGAATCATCCCTTTTGTATAGTGACATCGTTCCCCATTTAATACTATATAACTCTGATGATTTTTTAATAATCCGGTAAGCTGCTGTACATTATATACACTTAAAGCAAACACTGTCATACAATAGACTACAACTTGCAATATCGTCATCAATATAGGGGTACAAAAAAAATAAAATACTTATCGACAACATAGTGCAGTGGTATTGAGTGATGACTAATATAAAAACATTAGAATTATTTATAATAATTCAAATATATGGTATCCGCTTCCTATAATAATAAATTAATTATTAAATAATTTATATAAAATTACCAAACTCAAGTTATTGTGTTCTGTAATTCAACAGTCATATATTACGCGAATTAATAATTCAAATAAACTTAGTATACTATAGTATTATAATAGAAATTAATTTAAACATTAAAAATAAATAAAATAAAATTCAACTTCGACTTCAAAAAAAAAAAAATATGAATATAAAAGAATTATTGTTCAGTAAAGATCTTTCATTAATACTGATTTTCTCACTGCATTGCTATAGCCTTCTTTGAAATGATACCAAACATCGCTCTTCACAATTTCATCTCGAAATTCTGTAACGTATCAAAGATGTATTTAAAATAATAATAATAATAATAATGCACGCCTTACATAATTAATAAAACGTTTTACAGTTAGGTGATGAAATTCTTTATCGCATAGGCGACGGGGTGTGTGTTTTATAAAGAAAACGGAATCATTTTAAAAACCAGGCCGAGGCATTTGTTTTATTTATTTTTTTTTTTTTATAAAAAACGACACAACGAGGCGAGCTCTTTTCACCGTTAACCTATTAATTTTAAACGACGATGTAGATAGACACACAATATTATATATATTTACGATGCATAAAAATCCATCGGTGGCTTTTGACATATTGTCGGGATTTACCTCGGGGGCTGAGGGTTTTAATCGAGCAAACAGCGGGCACACCGCAAACCTGTTATAGTGCACGAATGATGGAAACCGCATTAATAAAACAACCCTACCCGCGCGACCCAGTACGAAGCTCCTGCAGCAGCCGGTGATACCTTGTCCGCAGTGTGTCAACACAGAAAGCATATAATAACGATGATAATAATATCGGACACGAATCTCATTATGTGTGCGGCATAACAAACAATAATAATCTCTCGAAAACTGTGTACGCAAACAGACGGGACTCGGCGCTCGTGTTTGCCAACCCGTAATTGGCTCGGCACCTATACACATTGCAAGGCGCGCACCGAGCCGCATTATGAGCGATRCATATAATATAATATTATATACGAYACACATGACAAAAACAGGTGATTTTTTTATTTGTCTTTTTCAACTCGACACAGGCAGAAAATCTCGACGAAAAATTCTTGAATATGTGCGTGATGATGGGTAAAATAGATATTATTGATTAACAATCAATGTATGGCAGCGGACGCGGAAATACCGGCAGCTATCACGTGAAGAAACATCAGTTCAACTATAAATAAATCGCTTGTAAACAATATTGTATATATATATGAAAGCTACTCTATTAGGTAAGGTTATAATCACAGAACACGATCATGTTTAACAACACCTTCGACAGAACATTGGATGTGATGGATCGTCTTTTTCATCACAGTACACATCGCCGAAAACTTTGAAATCACCATCACTGTATATATCATTATTAATTCATCTCGTTTCTATAGTTTGACGGTTATCTCGTAAAAGTCGATTAATTATTGTACGCGAATATGGCCAACCGGCTCCAACAGATTAATATCGTCGTTTGTCACAAGAAATTCGCAATAATATCCCTGCGTTACCTAGATGAATGATGATTATTCATCATAAATACATAATATGTGTACCTAGTTATATAGGCACACAGTTTAATTTTTAAACTACCGCGTTATATTATTCAACGGGTTTTATTGAGACAAAAAATATGGCGCAGTTTAATCGATTATCGAATTATATAGGTACACCCACCCAACACAACCAAAGTTTGAATAATGAAATAGAATAATAAAAAGATACACAACAAACGATACGTAGACAAATCTTTAATAAAAATATTTTTCTTTTATTAATGTTTTATACTTTGTTAAAAATATATTAATTTAGAATCTATATTGTATATAAATTTTAACATGATTTTACATTTTAACCAAGACTAAAGGGCTTTATCCCCTCTAGTTGGCCATGTTGTGGTAAACATTTTATATATAGGTAGTAAAARATAAAGTATAAACCAAAATATTTCTGAAAACGATTTTGAAGAATCATTTTGCGTATTATCARTTAGTTGTAGAGATTATTACGGTCACGAGATTTAGTAATAACTACCCATAATACTAAGTAACAGATATCAAATTCAGATTTACTTTGAATGTACCCCCCCCACCCATCAAAAAATCCTGGGTACACTGGTTTTAAGTGCATTAAATTCACAGCCTTGATTATATATAAGTAAAACATAATAATATATAATATTTAATATATCTACCTAATACCTACCTATATTAGTACACCATTTTATTTATAGGTTAAGTTAATTAATGTTTTTAGTAGATAATTGATGTATCTAGATAACTTCTAAAAAAAAATTTTGAATTGTACTTAGTACAAAATTTGATTAAAAAGTTTTTTGGATTTACTTTAGACTGTAATTACTATTAATTAATTTAAAAACAGTAGAAATGCATGTAATTTAAATGATACATATTAAATAAAAGATAAAAAGTTGTGCACGTTATTATAGTTAATGAGTGTTTCATTTATTGCAATTTCACTATTTAAGTAATGATAAGGTTAATTTTAGGTGCAAACTAATTCAATATAAGAAACTAATACTGGCCCTAGAAAAAAATTGTGATGTAAATAATGTTAGCGCTCCTTAATATTGATCTCTTTGTGTGCCTTTGCTGCAACAGTAGTATTAAGTCGGCGGTTAATTCGGCACGCTTACCTTTGTGTTTATGCCCAACGGGTGAATCGATTTCGCGACCAAAGAAATCTTTCTTTTTCTGAAAAAAAAAAAGTAATAAAGTGAGTAAATAAATAAACTTTATAAGTTACATTAGGGTTTACGCGGTGGAGGCATGTAAGCACAAACGCAATAACACAACATGGACGACGACGACGGTGATGGTGGTGGCGGTGGCAATAGATACCCTTCTTTAAACGACCGAAAGTGGAAAAGAAACCGCCCAACCACAGCCGCACTAACGCTTGTAAATGCACATATAATGTATATATATTATACTGTCGTTTTTGTATACGAGTGGGGTTTAATTGATTATAAAATGTATTACGTTGGTTCGGGTTAAACGACTCGTGCACAAACCGTATATGGCCGGTTCAAGCTTATATATAATATATATATTGTGTTTGTTTGCGTGTGTATGTGTCTAAGGACGCAGCCCCTCCATCAACCCCTTAAGTTGGTGTCTCCCGGTCCCCCATCTAATACAGAGGGCGCGATCGCGATCCCGTGCACGTATGTATGTATATATATATATATATATATATATATGTATGTATGTGTGTGTGTGTGTGTGTGTGTGTGTCCGGGACGCTAAAACGGTTTAATGGATCGAAAACCGCTCTGGACCGGACGCGATAGCTAAAACGTATAAAACTACTTTATATCAAAAAGACCAGAGGTCAGTATATGATGTCGGGTCAGGAAACGTTGTACGGGTAAAGTAAGAAACTTGGCGCCTCGGCGTTGGATTTATGACCGATAATGCGCGGAGGAGAGTGGTAGAGAAGATACTCGAAGGAAAGTAAGTGCCACGACTACAACGGTCGAGGGTTGGGTCGGTGGTATATTATGGTGGAGGGGCCTGGGTCGGGGGACGAGAATGAATGATGTAGGTGGCCAGGGGAGGGCAGTCGTTTATACGCACGTATATACCAGCTGGGTAGACGAAACGAGTTGAAGGATAGAAAAGAGGGCAGGAACATAGATGACGACTATACGGGACCGTCGACACCACTTCATCCATACCGGAAGTGACGGCCAGTAATGTCCGGCAATGTTTTATACGCACTACACACATAATATATAATACGGTTGGCATTTTCACACCAATGCCTCCACCACCTCTACTACCACCAACATCACCACAATCCCCAATGTTCAACAAACTGTAGTAACATTTCGGACGTTGTTCGAACTTTTGCTTATAAATTCTAATATTATAATTGTAAGCGATAAATTCGAGATCATAATATGTTTTAACAACATTTTCTAACGATCAGATTCAGAATTTCATAAATAACCATATGAACACGTGTTATTTCCTGATGTCGACTAAAAAGCGTTAAGACCACTTGCCAAATTATTAACCACTAATTTTTGAGACAAAAAATAATTATTAAAAGTCGCTTATACATAAACACAATTAAAGGTACACAGACTAATCCCCCTCGAAAATCTRTATCAACTAGGTATACTAAAATACTAACACAATTTTAAGTTATAAGTTAGGGTATACTACAAAATCTAATCGACCTGTATTCTATATAACACTATATAACATAATCTTATTATATCAAACATGAAACCACTATTTATAAATACGTATATAGCTATATATATATATATATATAATTTATATTTAATTTATAATGCATAAAATAAATGCTATCAGTTTGGGAACCGCTGATCTAGATAATGCATTTTAATCATTAATTTTATTTGTTAAAAAGTATTGAAAAACTATTTATACGCATTCCAAACATGGACATATGTATTAATTCAATTACATAGGTACTAAAACAGTTTTTAAATTATTTATTTTTAATTACTACATAAATAATAATAAACGAATCGATTTAACTCATACAAAATGAAATTTAATTATGGTACCACTATATTGAAATTAATTAAAGCTTTACTATATTTGCAACACTTTATAGATTGACCCTCATCGAATAATTTAAACGGATAACAATACATTATTATCCTCCCACAAATTAAAGAGCTTTAGATCAACACTTTAAGTATAGTAAAATAAAAACTAGTTTAATTAAGATCGTTAAGTATGATAAACTCGATCTAACAGACTAACAACACCGACAATTAAATATTCATAGAAATTATCATCAATAATTAAATCGTTGATAAAACCAATTATTCAACATAAGACATTTTATTTATTTTTTATTTTTCATAAGATCAACGATGAATTAATGAAAATTATTTGATATAGAAATCATTATTCATTAAGTACACCTGAAAATGATTAGAAATTCAAAAATTGGCCAACAGCGAATCCTTGCTTAATTATTTATTCTTATTTTATATTGAAAGTGTTTTGCTGTTTATCACAATTTATTATACCTATATTATACCCAGAGTACGGCAAAAACATTTCAAAACAAAAAACATTTAATTTTTACCCAATTATCTAACTATAGAGGTACACAAAGGAATATGTGATCCTTATTCGGATTTTATAACTTATAAGACGTTTTAATTCTTGTTGAGATTTTATGCTACCACAACAACTGTTAACGGATAAAAAACCAATTAAAAAGGATACAAATATACAACATCAAAAATATCCAACATCGATATTAGAGCCATTATTTATTACCTATTAGATTCCTAACTCCACAAGGAATTAAAATTATATATCAATGATTTTTAATTTTAATGCAAGTAAATTTTATTATGAACATATAGTTATTAGTTCATACTTTATTTAAAAATGTGTAATACATACATATAAATTAAATCTTTCCAAAGATCTACAGAATATTAATACAAAATGTTCGATACACAAAAGTCGAAGTTGAAACAAATATACCTACCCTGACCAAACAATAGTAATATCATAATATGATTAAATCATATTGTGATATAAACAAAACACTCGTAATGATATGAAATTAAAATTAAAATTATAAGTAATAAACCAATAAATAATAATAGAACAGAATTACTAGCGACGTATCTACCTTACGCCTGTCTCGACCACGGCTGTCAAATCGAGAAAAAATGGAGTGCATGATCCACCACACAAAGGCTATTTCATTCAGACGAGATATGGGCATATGGCTCCTCGAGTAACCTTTACGCACAACGCATCAATGATAGGTCAGACAAAAATAAAAATCCCTTTTTTCTCTTTTTTAAATACTTTTTAATGTCATAGCAGGTCACGCTCAGGCCTGGATATGCAAAGTCAAGCATTCGAAAAAATCTCGAAGGGCTATACTAACACATWTTGAACTAGGATAATAAATTTGCCGCAATGCCCACGTAACGATTTTAATGACAGCTATATAATAGTATATACAGTCAGCAAACGTGATAAAGTCATTATTATTTATTAATATTAAAATTCATCCAATATGGGATGATTGAAAAATATTTTTCGAAGGGCCGAGAATCAATCGTTTAAGTTTATATTTTTGTGAATAAATTATATGTTTTAAATTAACATATATGTATATAATGAATATATAAATATGATAAATAGCGAAACATATAAAACTACGTGTATTTATAAATTAAAATGTATATAGATGTCATATAATATAAAATTTAGCATACATTTATATTCAGAATCTCTTAGGACTATATATTATTGAACAGATGTCAAAGTTGGTAAATTGTACTTCATAAAAAATATGAATAAACAGTAAACACATAAATCCGAGTCCTAATTATTATACTAGGGACAAGGATCACAATAATAACATAAGAACCGGTAGGTGTATGTATATATATATGTATATATACTTTTTTCGGACAACCTTTGGCGCGTCTCATTAAAAAATAATCGCACGGCCTTACCGGCACTCTCACGCTCGTCGAAATAACGCTAACTCCCGTAATCGCAAAGTAGTTCGTTATACAATGAACAGGACAAAAAATAAAAGAGATGGAGAAAATGCGCGGTAATAAAGAAATAATAAATAAAATAACATGTAGTCATCGTCGTGTACACACAATACGCGCACAAGATTAATTACAAGTCGAGGGACGAGGGTTGAGTGGCAGCACTTTTTTTTAAATTCATTTTTTTCTTTATGTTATATCTACTTCTCCTTTAAGCCAACCTACTCTCCCCACCACACACACATACCCTACCCACACCCAGACATCGGTGTCTGAGTTTGGCCACCACCACTCGCCGTTCCGCGGCGGTCCACTAGATCAGCGTGCGCGATGAAAGACTACGAGGCTTAATGACTTTGGCGCAACTAAAAGKGCGTGACTCGCGCGCGTCTCCGTCTTTTGTGCGTAATACACATCGTTACCAAACAATTAATATTATATAAAAGCTATCCTCATAATAAAGTGCATTATTTATCGTCCGGACTCCGGACGGCAAACCCGAGTGATGCGTGCTAAACATTATAATTATATAGATATAGAATGTGATAGAGACCTCGAGCAGCTCCTATATATACCTATATACTCATCTATCGCGTCATCATACCGGATGACGGCATTCGATCGCGGTGAATGTGTTACAACTGTAAACTGAACGATACTTAATAAATAATAATAATAGGTATAGGTGTATACTATTATTTGAGTACAGAAAAAATACTGATGAGAATTCTAATAAATTATACGACAGCATAGARCAACCATAATCCCTGAAGTTATTCGGAGCAGTTTACGTCCAGACAAAACTATTGCTAGACTTATTATTGCGCCCATTGGCTGATTAACCACACGAACACAAATTACATACGGATTACATATTATATCATGATACAACACGTATTACATACGGTCATACGGAAAACATCCAATTATGAATTAAATACTATTAAATTACTTTCCGTAGATTATAATTTATAGGAATAATACTAGATAGTATACTATGTACAGATTACTTAGGCATAATTCGGGGACACTTGGATATGAATAGCCCATCTAAAAATTTGCATTTTAATTGATGCATAATTAAACTTTTAAATCCTTCATTAGTTATCTAATCTACATAGCTCAGTAAACGTTGTTTAAAGAAATTATTTTCTTAAGTTTAATCAACGATTAATTTGAATTCAATGACAACATACAGTTTCAAATGTATATTCTAAATCAGAATACATTTTTGAATAATTTGWCWCATATGAATTTTATTTAGGACGATTAGAGTATGAATTATATAAGTAGGTGTTTAAAACTTAGATTACTTAAAAGAACTGCACAACAATTTTGCGTATTAAATTTGAATTCAAATATTCAATGACAAATCATTATTCATTGCACACAAAAAATGATTCTGAGCGAAGGCGGTCAGCCATATAACAATTATAAAGCATATTTAAAGCAAATTGCTATTAARTTATTTTACCATAGTAATACAAATACAAAATATTGAATTCATATATGCTAGAAATATTACATTTTAAATTGCCATTATGTAGGTATATCAATATAATAATGTACCTACCCTTTAAGTTTCGAGTATTACGAATACTATATTAAATACTCATTTAATTACAACAAAATCATAAAAATCGTTTTTTTTTTTATACATATATCTAATTTTGTCAAAAT